AAAAAAAAAAAAAAGCGTGATAAAAAACGAAAGCCCTTTAGAGTAATAATCAAGTCCATGCAGGTTCGGTCCACAAGGACAAACTAAAATGAACATTTTGAAAACCTTACGAACGAAAATGAAAAATTTTAAATATAGGAACCGTTTTTAGGAGGTTTTCTATTTGGGGCACACTAATCAATAGAGTGGGCATTGGGTCCGGATATACTTGTTATTTATAAATACCTTATTTATTTGATTAAGTATTATATTTAAATTGTAAAAAAAATAAATAAGTAATGTATATGAAAATAATATATTTATAAGAATTAAGTTAAGATATATAAACATTTTGAATTATTTATCTAATTTATTTAATTTATTTATTTAACTAATTTTATAACTTAAATAAATTTAATTTGATATTAATTTAAATTTATTTATTTTATTAAATTTAGTTAATTTAAATTAGATCAACCAGATTAAATGGTATATGAACAACCTTATTGCACTTGGCACAAAATCGGATGGACCAGGTCCCTATAAAGGAGAAGTCTGAAAAAAAGAAAAAGAAAAAGTAAAACAAAACAAAACAAAACTTGATAAAAAAACGAAAGCCCATTAAAGTAATAATCAAGTCCATGCAGGCTCGGTCCACAATGACAAACTAAAATGTACATTTTGAAAACCTTATGAACGAAAATGAAAAATTTAAAATATAGGAATATTTATAGATATATGTATATTTTAAATCTTAAGATATAGGAGGTTCTTTATTAGGGGCATACTAATCAATAGGTTGGGCATTGGGTCGGGGCATACTTGTTATTTATAAATGCTTTATTTATTTGATTAAGTATTATATTTAAATTGTAAAAATGGTTAAAGTAATGTATATGAAAATAATATATTTGTAAGTATTAAGTTAAGAAATATAAAAATTTATATTGGTTTGATTTAGTTTTTTATTGAGTTGGGTTAATTTAGAATAGATTAATTGGATTGGAACATATATGGATGCTCCTAATTGTACTTGGCATTAGAGATGAACATTTTTTAGTACAGGTCAAGTATGAGATGTATTTGGTATTTAACTTGAAAATTTTTGGATGTGACTTTTTAGACTTGGTACTCATCAAATACTTAAAGACCTATACTTGGTACTTAATCCAATAAGTAGCAAGTAACTTGCAGTTATATATTTATATACTTGTTAAATAATATTTTGTTTTAATTTTTTTAAATTAAAATTTAATAAAATATTATTTACTTTCAACCTAAATTTAAATAAAACTAGTAAAATTTTAATAAAATATTGTTATTGCAATCTAAACTTAAACATAATCTAAAATAACAACATAGAACTAAAATTTGATTTCATATCAAGAACTCAAATCTATGAACTATTAAAAAACTAAACTCAATTAAATAATTAACAATAAAAAATAAAAAATATGTATCCAAAAATAAAGAATGAAAATAAATTAAATAATAGAATTAAAGTCCTTCAAAGAAGATATCCAAGTTTTTAGGCTAATAATATTCCTAATCATCTGCTTTGGTTTGTTAAAAAGGAATAGTGGCTAATGGTATTATATCTATTTTAATATTTTAATATTTTAATATTCATACTTTTAACATATGATTCATATCATGTTAAATTTGGAGTTTGAAATTAAAAATTCATTTATTTAATATAAAAAGACTATAGCTTGAAAACCACTAATGAAAAATTAAAAACAAAATTAAAAAGAATCAAATTTTGAAGTTATAAGTACTCGCTGTTGCCTAAGAGTGTAAGGAAGGAAAAAAGTTGTTGGTTGTGTGTGTGATATGTGTTTGATTTAGCGTTTTTTATTTATAAATTGCGTGTATGAGTTCTTTTATTTTTGTTTTTGTATTTTATTATTTTTTTAAAAGTTATTATTATTATATAGATATTAAGTATAATAAATATAGATAAACTTTCAATTGTACAAGTACAGGTAATATGTTGGCTAAATAAAATGATTAAACAAGTCAGATAAATAGGTTGGATAAATAGTTCTAAACCCTTATACTGGTTATTTGACTTGATACCTATATATATATATATATATATATTATTTTATACTCCTTACTTACCTAAATTTTTT